GATATTTAAATATAATTAGATGCCAAACTATAGCAAAGCAAAACTAAATTGCAAAGAAAGAGCAAGAAAAAAATACATGACAAAAATTGCTAATCGTACATAAACCTTTAGTAAAATTTCATAACTAAACCCATCCAAAACATATTACGAAGTGAGTACTATAAAATTTGTTTTCTACGGCTATTTGGGATGAGGGTGGTGTTTTACGATCTCACATTTAACTACCTGGTTTAGGAACAAGAATCTGACCAAAGCAAGCAATTTAATTAAACCTGACCTGTGAGATATGTTCAGCCTTAATAAGAATTACCTTCGGGTGTAATTGGAGGAGCTGTGTTGACTCAAGTTAAAACCAGGAGTCACTTCACGGCGCATGAATGCTCCAGACCATTTCTGCTCCCTTATAGCACACTGATGCGCTATTGAGGCACAACTATTAGCAAAATGCTTTTCATGTGAGAGTCCTGGGTAATAGAACTTCAACATGGTGCTCTATCCGATTAAAATTCAGTCTAGCGTTAGTCACTTTTTTCCTGTTATCTTCATGTGACCTATCCGCGAATCTTAAATTGCTTACTTGGGCCTCAAGTCTCCGCTTTGGGCTAGGCCCAGTTCAACGATTTTATAGATCTACGAAGCTAGAGCTTCTGTGTGTTGTTGTTTTTGTTTTTTGTTTTATTTTCTCTTCGGTGATTTTTGTTTTTTTCTCTGGTATTTTTGTTTGTTTTCTTTCTGGTGTCATCTTTTTTCTTTCACCATTTGTTGTTTGGGTCTTTTGTGCTTTCTTTGGTGTAAAGCGTTGTATCTTATGATCTTTCGCATAATTGCACGAACTTTGTTTTCGCTTTATCTTTCATTATTGCAGTCACTCTACTTGGTTGTTGTAGTTGTTTAAATAGGAATCTTTCAGCAACGAATCTTGGTACGTTGACTGCTGTTGTGTGCCGCTTCTATTTTCTTTTTTGTAGTATTGCATATGCGTCCCCATGCTATATATATATATATATATATATATATATATATATATATATATATATATATAAAGGAGTACGACCGTCAAACAATTATTCAATGCAGTAAGTTTCAAAAGAAAAATTCTTTTGATCAACGAGGATATAGGTCAAAGGAGAAATAATACAAGGAAATCACAGTTCCATTCTTATATTTGAAGACGTTTCGCTTGTGGTGTTCACAAGCTTCATCAGTTCAAATCTAAAAAATATTACAATGATGGTAGGTAATATTATACAAAAACATGGAAAATTAACTTACGAATGTAGAGTGAAGAATAAAGGGTGTTAAACAAACACACCATTCCCTTTGTTAACTGTGGTCAAAACATTAAATTTTTGGTAAAATTATAGCTTGAAAGTTTCTATGTAGTAGCATTCGTGTTTTTCAAAGCGAAAAATTTTGATTTACAAATGATCGACAGAATAAAAAACTACTACCAAGCTTACTAAAAAACTGGTCAACATTACACGTAAAAAACTAACTTACAACAGTCAAATGTAGAAATAAAATAATAAAGTGACTAAAACGCACTGACACAGAGCTGAATTGTTATAGCAAACAAATTTTGAACTTCACTTTAGAGCGCATTTCCATCTAACGGATTCGGACTCGAAAAACGAAAGTCAAATTGCCGGCATTTTCCTTGCAATAGAATGTGTGGATTTATTAGTTCTGAGTTGATCCAACTTTCTGTGGGAGAATGAGACGAGCAGGCGCAGATGTGGTTGCCACCTCATCTCCGGGGTGAAAATTTTTTTTACGTTTTAACTACAGGTTTCGATTAGAAAAGTGATTCTAAACAAAAAATGTGCTATATATTTTTTTATAAAATGATATTTTTCAAGTTATTCGCGATTGAAAGTAACAACTTTTAGACGAAAAAATCCACGTTTTTAATCGATTTTTCGCGAATAACTCGAAAATGGTGCATTTTATCAAAAAAATTGTAGAGAACAAATTTGTAGCTTTTAAAAAGACAAATACAATTACAAATACAATATCAATGTTCAGCGGTTTTCTTCAAATGCCAAATTTGAAAGATTCAAAGTCAAATATCGGGAAAATGATGCATTTTTGGAAGAAAACTCACAAAACGTTTTTTAAAGAGCATAAATAGACCTATCATAAAAAAATAAGGTCAATACCTCATTGTTTACGAAAAAATCGAGGAAAACAACAACCTAACCACCCCCATAATTAAAATCGATCTTCACCCTTCTGCAATTCCCTTTGTAGATGTATTGTTAATACGTCCAAGAAGTTTGACCCATTTAAAATGCTTAGTTTTAGAAAAAGTACAGCTTAAAGCGAGAAACGATTTACAATTTCATATTTTTTTCCCTTCTTTTTTTAAATATGCCCGAAAATACTGAATATATAAAAAAAATAAAAATTACCAAATTGTAGCTTTTTTAATGATTAAAATTATCCTTTATTTAGATTTGTTGTACAATGAATATTTGGCGAGATATAGCCGTTTAAAGCATCGATTTACGATCAAGCACCATCTTTTTCGAGCCCTTTAAACTCACCCCATTTAAAAACCAAGGGTTCCAAAAAGATTTAATTCACAGATCCTTGTAGCTATTAAAAACCTCTACAAATCGTTTTTGAAAAAACATCTATCGTTAAAAATTAAAGGAAATACGTTAAAAAAACCAGTTAATTTTTTTCCGGAAAATTCCATTAGTATAGTACAGTACATTTCGGAGCATAATAATCTACAAAACCGGTATATTAGCTAGTAGGGCGTTATACATTCGAAATTTTAAGCGTTCTTATTTTGAAATCCCATACAACAGAATAAAACATCTGCTCATCTGCTATGGCTTGGCAATGAAAATATCAGAGCAACAGATTGGGGATGGTTTTCCAAAGATGGTTTGTTATTACCCGTACGCATGAACAAACAACCTGCACCCGATAAATTTTTGAAAATTATTTTTTGCCAATGCAAAAAAGGATGCGGCGTTTCATATGGGTGCAGAAAAGTTGGTTTATACTGTAACTCTACTTGTTCTGGGTGCTCAGGTGAAGGGTGCAATAACAGTCCACCAATAATTGAGGAAGATGATGATGACATAGATCACATGAAGATGTAATTGATGACGAATAAAATTAATAATATAATTGTTTTACCTATAAATGTAAATATTTTCAACTATTTATGTAAATGTATAAGAATATATGGTGCCTTTTTATGTTGATAATTTTTTTTGTATTTAATTCTACTTTTTTAATTTATATCTTATAAATTAGTTTATAAAAACTGCAATGTTGTAAAGGGTGATTTTCAAAAGTTGAAAAGTTGCAAAATTTTGGCAAAAAATTGTTTTCACCTATAGCACTCATAACAATTGATTTTTAAGGGTTGAAAATGTATGAATTTGTATTTTAAAGTATAAAAAACTCACTATTTAACTAATCCAAACCAAATTTCACTCATCTTAGGATTTGTAATATTATTTTACAATTTTTGAAAATTAGGGGTAGTTCTCACCCCTAAGAACAATCAGGGTTCATCGGCATGACATAAACTATAAAGTAGAGGGTGAGTTGAGCTTAATTCCAAATTTTTATGCAAGTCGTTTCAAGGTGAAATCATTTTCTTCGCATTACTAATTTTTTTATATTAATCTCTAATGAGGGTCGCTTTTTAAGGGTTGAAATATGATGGAACTTTATTGAAAAGCACGAAACTATCATTATTTAATTAATTCAAACCAAATTTTACCCATATTCAGGTTTAATATGTTATTTTATAATTTTTGACAATTAGGGGTAGTTTTCACCCCTAAGCACAATCAGGGTTCGTCGACATGACATAAACTATAAAGCAGCGGGTGAATTGAGCTTAAATCCAAATTTTTATCCAAATCGATCCAAGGCGAAATCATTTTTTTAGAATTAGTAATTTTTTACATTAATCTCTAACAAGGGTTGCTTTTTAAGGGTTGAAATATGATGGAACTCTATTCAAAAGTATAAAATAATCATTATTTAATTATTTCAAACCAAATCATACCCATATTCAGGTTTAATATGTTATTTTATAATTTTTGAAAATTAGGGGTAGTTTTCACCCCTAAAACCCTTCAGCGCACTTCGGTTCGATATAGATTTTGATCCTTGGGCTATTACCTACTTTCTGCTAAAATTTCAACTGGATACATGCAGGACGAAAAAATTGCGAGGTTTTAACTTTTTTCGAGCTTCAATTCCTGAACTATTACGCCTCCTTAGACAAACCCGTCTTACGCAAACAACTTTGTTGCGAGACAGATAGTTGAACGATATTTTATACAATGTCTATACCCAGGTATGGATTTATTTTTGTCCAAGTTTTATATTGGTCCACTATTTTAAATGCAGTTCAAACAGACATGTATTAAATTGTATGTTCCGTTTTAATTTGGTTCAATCTGTATATATATATATATATATATATATATATATATATATATATATATATATATATATATATATATATATATATATATATATGTTAGTATAGAAGGAATTACACTGTACTGTTTTTAAATAAAACGAGCGGTTCCTAATTTACCGCATGAAAATATCTTATCAACTAAACTAGCTAATATCGTCGTTAGTTTATACATATCATATACATCGTCCGATCAGCAACTTGACATGAAGGCCCAGTATGACGGAATCTGCAGGACTCTCCAACTCTGCATGAACCTCTTAGAAAGAAATAACAGTCTACTATATTTGAAGGATACGATTTATTCGAATGAATCCAACATACAGTAATTCGTACGTCCGTTTCTCGGAAAATCACTTCAAGAATGCTTCTGACAATCTTCCAATCCAGATTTTCTAGTGCTTGGCCTATTGGGTAAAGTCAAATTCTTGATGTCATGATTGCACATGTTTTTTTTTTTCAAATTAGTTAGAGCACTCCATATATTATCGGGGCTTGCCCTGTCTGTATACGACTTTCTGGTTACCATATACAGCAAAGATCAAGGACCATTTTCTAATCTCAATACTTTTCCAACTTTAGGCTGCTGATTTTTTAACTCATCCAAAATACCGAACTTCTTATAAAATGCGTATGAGATTTCTTTAGTCATCTCAAGATCTTGGACAACACAGTGGGCTGTAGAGACGTTACCTGGAATATTAAAAAGATCCAGCTGAACTTCTGTGTTCACGCCGAATCTAACACTTTTTCTCTCTGCGTAATTTGACATGAATTAATTAAAGCTTGGTCGCCGGCCATCTTTGTTCTCATGTTAAAGGGTTCGTGCTTCTTCTGTTGCATTTGAGCCAGCATAAGGTGCAAGACGATTTATGTGAACTACTTTTGGTTTACGGTAATCCGGCAATGCCATGGGGTCTTCTGACCTAGTATCCTACTCGGCCGAAAGAGGCCAGGGTGTCTTAATCCGTTAGACGTTAGATCCATAAAAAATATTTTCCCACCGTTGCTTGTCAGAACTCAATGGACAACAACCTTCTCAGGCTCTTCTGGAATCTGGCAATACAGCTTTAAAGGAAAAAAGGGTGCACAGAGGGAAAAATTTGATCTCCGCGAATACGTAATTTTGTAATGCGCAGGCGTTCTCTTTCTGGTTTAGTATTTTTACATGCTCTGTAAGAATCCGTCTTGGGACGGTCGGGTCGAAAATATCCGAACCATCGTCAACATACATAGAAATTCACCACCCTCGCGGGGTTAATTTAGTAACTTTAAATAATACCTTTTTAAAAAATGTTTCTGTGAACAGTTCTAAAAATTTTTAAAGCCATTTAGCTTCTTAATAACACAGATCTGACTAGACACTTTCAGAGGAAAAAACTATTTGTTAAGAACAAGTAGAGAAAAAATTACTTATTAATAAATGACCAAATTTCAATGCTAATATACATTTTGGTAGTTGTTAATCACAAAAAAATTTTCTTTAAGGTTTAGTGGAGCAGAAATATATGTTTATTTTATTACCTATCTTTTTGTTATGTCCATAAATTATTTTCTATTTTAAAATTATTATGTTGTTGATTCTTGTATTATGTTTTTAACATTGCAGTCTTCTAAGGTTAACGATATGTTTTTTCAATGTCCCTGGATGTATTGGAACCAAAGAAATAAAAAGATGTTATTGATAATACTACCTTGCACTAAGCCAATTAATTTGTCCTGTTTAAATTTGATAATTGTAGATCATACAATTATGACAAAGGTAAGTTTTTAACCTAAATTTCTTGTTTTTCACAACATCCTTTAACTTTCATCACCAAAGCCGACAGATAAAAAAATGATTATTCATCTATGGTTTCTAATACGTAAGCTTCACTCAGCTCTTAAACGATTACCTTAAAACGACCATTATTACGCTGTTCTAATGCTATAAATATTTTTCGAAGTTTTTTGTTACTGAACAATGCTGACGATTTTAGTTGTACATAATCAAGTATTAGTACATGTCAAGGAGATTTGTAGGGCGACAGATTTGTAGGGCGACAACAAAATTTTATTAATTGATATCATTTAAAATCTTAATTGTAATATAACATCTTTATTTTCTACTATAATAAGCTATTCCGTTCATTCATCTCGGAATGAACTTGTATCAGTTTTTACACCGTCTTCAGCTGATATTACGCATTTTTTTCTGTTTAAGTATCCACTCATTTAACCATTATGTTACATTGCCTTCCAATATCTTCATTAATCTGTCGATATCTCAAAGTACTTTCTGTAATTTTTCTAGTACTTTTATCTGCACCGTTTTTAATAGCCTTTTTGTTGTAGCTGTCTCGGTTCTTGTTTCTGATGTATAAGTCTAGTACTATATTGACTTTGATTTTATTTTTATGTCTTGTTTGTATTATGTCGGTTTCGACATATCGTTTTATTAACTACGCCAGTTAAAAATTATTATACAAAGTCAGCGACCCTGACTGGTTTAGTATCATTCTTAATAATGCGTAAGAAGATGGGGCCAAAGTGAGAATTTTAGCTCCAAGACAGTCACAATTCTGGCTCTTCTCCAGATTTTGGGGATTTGGATAGTAGAGATACCTCAATTCAATATTATCATTTCGTTCGTATGTTGTTCAGGCCAGCCACTTTATCTTCTATTTGAAGGATCAAATATCACTTTCCAGAACTTTTTCAGAACGTATGGGCAAAATATATTACAAGACTCTGGTGGTAGAATTTTAAGTAATAATTAAAGAGCGCTGTACCCAATGGGAAAATTACATAATAGAATTATTTAGCGATGACTAAAGAATCTACCAAGAAAATAACATCTAACCGAGATACAGGCCCACCGATTCGAATCTCAGAAGTTCAGAAGGCTATCGACCAAGCAAAACGAAGGAAGGCTTCTGGTCCTGACGAAATACGTGCATTAAAACTATTAGATAATGAGAGTGTTGCGATTACCACATCCTTCTTTAATGAGATCTACAGCAGTGGCAAATTACCAGACAACTGGTTAGAATCGATATTTATAACTATTCCCAAGAAAAAGAATGCCAGACAGTGTAGCGACTATCGACTTATCAGTTTAATGAGTCACACGCTCAAAATTTTTATGAAAATATTGCATTGTCGCATATATAAACTTTGTGAGGGGATAACTGGTGATGAGCAGTTTGGTCTCCGAAACGGTATGGGTACTTAAGAAACTCTTTTTTGCATTGAATACTCTTACCAAAGAGCATTGAGTTTATAAAAAATATTTCCGTATGTTTTATAGATTTCGAAAAAGCCTTTGATAGAGTACCACATACATTATTATTTCAATGCTTAGACTCAGTTGGTCTGGACACGTATGATATTAGATTGCTCAAAAATCTTTACTACAACCAGACCGCTTGTATTAAGGTGGAACAAGAGGTTTCAGCTAAAGTTTCTATTAAGCGTGGTATCAGACAGGGATGTGTCTGACACCACAATGTTGTTTAATGCCTACACTGAAGCAGTTTTTGAAATAGCGTTAAATAATCGCTGCGAAGGTGTTAATATCGGTGGTGAAATTATTAATAACATCAGATATGCCGATGACATCGCAATAATGGCAGACAGTCTAGAAAATCTTTAAACCCTGTTGAATGCAAGAAATGCACTGAAAAGGGCTTAACAATCGAAGCAAAAACAAAAACAAAATGGATGGTGGTCGGAAAAATTAATATCGAAGACTCATTACTAAGATTAGATAACAAAATTCTGGAAAGGGTGGAACACTTTAGATATCTGGGTAGCTGGATTGACTGCAGGGTTAAAAGTGACGAGGAAATTTCGACCAGAATAGAACTGGCACGGAAAAACTTTATTAACTGGCGTTTTGTATTATGCAGTAGAAGTCCGTCGTTGACCACACGTCTAAGAGTATTGAAGTGCTACGTCTGATCCACTTTGTTCTATGGATGTAAAACCTGGACAAGAAAAATAAAAAATCTTGACAAATTAGAAGCATTTGAGTTATGGTGTTACCGTCGCATGCTCAGAATCCCGTGGACAGCACACATATCTAACGAACGTGTGCTAAAAACCGTGCACAAAGAGCGAGCATTGATCAGCATCATCAAAATGAGAAAGGTCCAATACTTCGGTCATATAATGAGGGGACTTAAATATCGCTTACTCCGGTTAATCATTCAGGGTAAATTCGAAGAAAAACGTTGGGTCGAAAGAAAACAACTGTCCTGGCTGCGTAACATTAGACAATGGACAGGTCGAACGGTTGAGGAACTGTTTCATCCAGCTGCCGACCGAAAATCATTTCATCAGCTTGTCAATATGACGATAGCCAACGCTTGAATACAAGTACGGCACACAAAGAAGAGAAGTATCTCTTTCCTACAGACTTAACAAGGTATCTCGAACATTCCTTTAATCGTCAAAATTTTGCCTTACTCTGACCTTCTAATGTCTTAGTCACAACCTACTATGTATTGATCGATCATGTTTCCAGTAATTATTTTTAATTCTTCCTATAAGAGCATATGTTTCGTTACTTATTTTCTTGTAAGTGTCGCGTACGCGTAAACTCATCACCAATTAGCATAAATACTCTCGTATATAATACAAACTCATCATCATCATCATCATTATCATTGGCTCCACAACCCATGGTGAGTCTTGACCTGCTCAAGGATAAGTCTTCATTCTCTCCTATTCTTTGCCTTGGCTTTCCAGTTTCGTACCCCAACATCCTCGAGTCTTCCTCCACCTGATCCTTAAATCATCTCATTTATCATCCTATCTTATTCATTCTCTCTATGTGACCTAACCACAGCAGCAGGTTTATTTCGATGGACCTAACAATGTCAGGTTTGTCATATAGGCAGTAAAGTTCGAAATTATAATGTCTACGCCATAATCCGCCCTCCTGTACTCCTCCATAGATATGTCGGAGGATTTTACGTTCAAAGCATCATAAAAATTCTTCATCGCCCTTTGTCATCGTCCATGTTTCCGACGTGTAGGTGAGGATGGGCTTGATAAGAGTTCTGTATATCACTTATTCCGTTCTTTTTGTAACTAGGCTTATTGCTAAAAATTTTCTTTATCCATAATAGGCTCTATTGTCAGATATATTTGTCTGTTAATTTCTACATTTTTACTCCTTCGAAAGTATCCGAGTACAAACTCATCACTGCCATAAAAATAGAGATCTTAAAAGAGACCCCAAGAGATTGGTAAACTCATCACTGGCTACCCCGTGGCAGTCATAGACTATCAAATACTTGCAAACCGTTAAGATTTGGTGATTTGATAGAATAATCCAAATCTAGCTGTATTAAGGTCGATTTATACATGCAAGTTCCGTGTCCGTTCCGTGTTATGACTGTGGCCAGCAAAAACACAATAATGTGCTCTTATGAGTATATTTTTACATTGGCCTGAATTTAATCCCAAACGATATTTTTGTTTTCGGCACAGGCGATGCACGGAAATGACATGGACCGCACGGACTTGTCTAAACACGATTCTATAGTTTTGCGAACCCGAGTGCTGGTTATCAGACAAGCAGAAGATGTACGGTTAGTATGTTACGGTTTGTTATATGTATTAAAAAAAAAGAAAAAGAAAAAAGAGTACTGGACATTCTAGAATATTCGTGAAATTTTGTTTTGTCGTCCAAAAATTCTCTGTATATTTTAAATTGTCCTTCTGTTTGTCTCTTTTTCCACATAGGATGCACACTCCATCTTCTTTGTTTTCGCCTTTTCTGTT